AACCATGTGCCATGTGATACAATGCCATGTCCACTCTCCTGGGGCACCTGAAAAGAATTTTGCGTAGAATCAGAATCCATTTTTAAGACCTTAGTTGTTTTAATATTATATTGCATTTTCTAGTTTTTTTCAAGTTAAAAATCAGTATTCTCTCCTAGGAAGCATTGATAAAACCAGGCAATCCGGAGGGGACCATCAAGATGACGAAGTGTATACACTTGGCAAACTTGGAGGCGTAGGAATACGTAGTCTAGAGAAGAGGATGGTTAAAGAGATGTGACAGCTCCTCAGGCATTGCTCTCTACCTTCTGGAAAAAGGATTGTCTGAGAGCAGAACTGTATCTTATTGAAAGACAGCTTCCAACAAGGAAATGCTTGTTAAGGACTACTGTTTTTCGCTCGGCTGGTGTTGCTTAGTGCTTAAGTGTCGACCTATGAACCGGGAGGTCACTGGTTCCATTCTCGGTCAGGGCACGTGCCTGAGTTGCAGGAATGATTCTCTTTCATCATTGATGTTTCTATTTCTTTCTGAAATCAATAAGCATATTTATTTATTTTTAACTACTGTGTTCAAGTATGGACAGAGCTCTCTAGTGAGGCCCTGAGTTCCTCTATTAGAAGCATTTTCTTTTTTTAATTTTTTTTATTGTTTAAAGTATTACATACGTCTCCTTTCTCCCCATTGACCTCTTCCTGGCCACCCTCACAATCTAGCACAAGCTCTCACCCTCCCACTGTTTGTGTCCATGGGTTCTGCTTATATGCATGCATACAAGTCCTTTAGTTGACCTCTTACCCATCCCCATTCATGCCTTCCCTATCAGGTTGATTGGCCTGTTCGATGTCAAGGCATTTTCTTTGATGTATCTGTGTGTGTGTGTGTGTGTGTGTGTGTGTGTGTGTGTGTGTGTGATATACTTTCTTGTTTCTTTGCATCTCTTGTGATTTTTTTGTGGTTTTTTTTGTTGTTATTGTAGAAAACTGGACATTTTCAGGTGTCTTCAAACTACGGCTTGCGGGCCACATACGGCCAGCAGAAGAGTCTGATCCAGCCCGCCAGGTTTTTTGGGCAGTGAGCGCAGCCGAGGTGTTACAGTAGGAATTAGTAGTTCATATAATCCGGCCCTCCAGCTCTCTGAGGGACCGTGATCTGGCCCCCACTTTAAAAAGTTTGAGGACCCCTGTGTGGCAACTCTGTAAATCAGGTTCTACCTCCTCCCAAAAGCTTGTGGTTTATTGTTGCTATTTGCTCATTAATGATTTTTCTGAACTCATTTTGTAGTTTCTCTATTCTTTGTCATGTGTGGCCCCTAAAGTCTATGCTCTGTTAGCTTTTGGTCAGTTAATGAATGAACAGATATTTCCTTAGATGCCTAGAACCAGTAAGTCTCCCAGCCTTTGCCAAGGGTACACAAAGCCTCATTACCATGTACCAAACCCCATTCTAAGTGTTTAAATATGTTTAGTCATTTAATTCTCTCCAAGTCTCTAACAGTAGGCTGTATTACTCTGAATGTTTTTCAGATAGAAAACTGGAGCATAGACAGATTAAGTAACTTGCCCAAAGTCACATAAATTATCAGTAACAGAGCAGGGACTTGAAATTCAGAATTCAGGCTCTGCAGTTCATGATCTTTTTTTTTTTTTTTTTTAAAGAACAAGTTCTTGGTTTCATTGATATATATATATTTTAATATTTTATTGATTTTGTACAGAGAGGAAGGGAGAGAGATAGAGAGTTAGAAACATCGATGAGAGAGAGTCATCGATCAGCTGCCTCTTGCACACCCCCTACTGGGGATATGCCCGCTACCAAGGTACATGCCCTTGACCAGAATCGAACCCGGGACCCTTCAGTCCCCAAGCCGTTGCTCTATCCATTGAGCCAAACCGGTCTCGGCCAGTTCATGATCCTGAACATTCTGTGCTGTGTCACAAAAGGATGCTTGTTGGAATGACACACAAACTTAAGTGTGAATGAGTTCTGATAGACTAGCTCAGTGGAACTCTTTGAAAAATATTTGAACATTGATAATTTGTGTTTGTGAAATCTATTTTGGTTTTCCAGAGTGTCTGTGTGCAAATGCATATTTGTATGTATCAAATAGGTAAGATGGCCAGAGAAGTGATCTTATTATGCTGATGTTAAATAATAGTAAATTATAAATATTTTAATTTTACTTTTGGTTAAATTGATGAAACATGGATTATCTTTTACTGTTAATTTGCATTACATTATGTACTAGAAAAAAACGTAGTTATTGAAATATGTCTGAGTAGTTATACATGATTTTTTTTATTTATTTATTGAGAGTTATGAGTTATTGGGGTATAATTACTAATCATTATCTTTAGAAATCTAATAATTATGTATCATTCATTCCCTCTTTCAATATAATGCAGAAGTTCTAACAACTGACTCTTGCCTTCCTTGCTTTAGTTGAGTTCTTTGTGGAATCTAGAGAAGAAAACAAGGAAGCAGTTATATAAATAATGATCAATTTCTTTTTATTCAAGTAGCTGCCTTAATAGGGTAAGCACCGACTCACTTTTACCCTGAACCTAGAGTAAAAACTGGAAAAGTCAAGGTTTTGTTGGGAGATAATTTTCCATGTGTCTCTTGCTTGTCTTGTGAGAGAAGAGTCACTGGCTGCTTATATTTTGTTTGGTTGTGCATAGCAAACAGCCTTCACAACGAAGAAAGTGTGTCCCTCCAGAGAAAAGGGCAAGTTTTCTTACTGTTCAAGACCATGATGATAATGTTTCTCTCCAATGCAAAGAACAAGTATTCTTCCTGCCCATTATAAAAGATTAGGAGACCCGGAGCAGCAGCTGCCAGGCTGGGAACAGCCAGGCCCGGAGCAGCAGCAGCCAAGTCCAGAGCAACTAGGTTGGGAGCGGCAGTGACCAGACCCGGAGCAGCTGGTTGTGGAACTAACCAGAGCAACAGAGGCCAGGCCCAGAGCAGCCAGGCCTGGGACAGCTCGCTCCTCGCCTGCCCTGCCCCACGGCTGCCTCTCAGACATGGCTGGAAACTTTTGCGGGAACTTGAGGGTCTGCTGAATCAAGTGATGAAGGCTTAGATCTGGGTGTGATGAGTTAGTATAGCGCGGGGGTGTTGATCTGTGAGTGCCTTGGGTGGGGCCTGGATGAGGCTGGTTGACCTATTTGGAAATGTCTTTTGTGTGAAGTGTATCATTGGGCATGTGGAGGTATTATTGATATGAGAAAATGCTAAGTAACTGATTACTATCTGAAAAGGGATTTACTATCGGGGAAAGGGGGGGAGGAAGAGACTGAACATAAACTGTGCACCTATGGATGAGGACAATGGGGGATAGGGAGGGGGCGGAGGGCGGGGTGGGAACCTGGTGGAGGGGGGAAGAAATGAGGAACCTTTGTAATAATATGAACAGTAAAGATTGATTTAAAAAAAAAAAAAAAACAATTACAAAACCAGTATCCTTAGGTTTGAGGACAGTCTTTAAATAATTATTTTAATTAAAACTGTGTAGCTCTATTATTGATTATAATAATAGAATTCTCTCTAAATTGGCCAATTTTCAGAGGACAATGTGAACTAAAACTAGATCACTAAGTTATATTTGACTGAGAGAAGGTAAGAAATTAAAGCCAATCTATTACTTAAAAAAAAAAAAATAATAAATAAATAAATAAATAAATAAATAAATAAAAGATTAGGGTTCCCAAAAGATTGGTGTTGTGCAACCCACTCAATGTGCAGGGGTCATCTCGCTATCTTCATGTTGTTCTGGGGACTCAAGGAACTGGAATATACTCTGGCTATTGCTATTGCTGTGAATGATAAAATTCTTTTTCTCCCTTACCAGCATCCACCAAACCACCGCAGGCTAGTTTGTTAGCTTCCAAATAGAGTAACATCTCAGAATCTTCAAAGTTTTTGAAATTTGTTAATTGTTATAAAATTCCCATGTTTTTACCTTAATCTAGAACCAGCTTCTTTTTAGAAGAGGGAATTTTCACTTTGTTGTGGATTCATTAGCGACATGGCAGGTAGCCTATACTTCGGTCACCTGTGAGGTGACTTATGACAGTTGTTAGCCACATTATACCTCCATGTATTTGCCCCTCAACCCCCATTTTCCTTGCTCATGGATTTTTTTTCCTCTTTTTATTCCTTCTCGTCTCTTCTTTCTGTATTATCTTCTTTGACTACCATAGGTACTCGCTAACCTTTCAAATTAAAACTAAACGCAAACAAAAATCTTGCTTATTTTTTTAAGTCAGATGTCAAATTCTTACCTGGTAGAACTAGAACTTGGAGCCATGTCAGGAAGTCCCCCATGTAAACATCTGCTGCAGGCAGTGGACAGAGGTGTGTGTGCATGTGGGAGGTAGGGAGAAGGGAACAAATCGACTTCCACTCACCAGCATGCTCAGCAGTAGCCTGGAGAAATATTCCTGATTTCTGGAGAAAAGCTTCTGACCAAATGAACAATAATCAAACAGTCTACACAAATAATAATAATGATGAAACTTTAGTTTTTGAAAAATTGGAGTCAGTCTGTGTCAGAAGTTTGCACTCTGTGGCCTGTTCCCCAAATCTGGACCACAGCTACATCATCCATTCATTTACATTTTGTCTGTGGCTGCTTTGGTGTTTCAGTGGCAGAGATGAGTAGGTGGAACAGAGACCACGTGGCCTACAAACCATAAAAGAGTTACTATCTGACCTTTTATCAAAAATAAAGTTCACCAACCCCTGCTCTAGACATGTGTTTTACCAGCAGCTCCCAACTTCAAGTAGTAAGGAAGAAAGAAAAAATCACTGGGCAGGCTTTTCAAAGAGTTCCATCTCAATCTCCCCTCTGGCTTCTCACAGGTGTCCCTGTTGAGAGTCACTGTTTTAAACTTTAGAATTCAGTCGTTTTGTTCCATTAACTGATAGTGATTGTTTTCATCATTTGGCCCTCTGTAACTCACCCAAAGTAACTTTGACTGTGTCATTTCTTTTACAGGGTTGTGGGAAGAAAATGTACTCCTTTCTGAGAGGAACCAAACAACTGCAGGTGCTAAGGTTTCTGGGGATCTCCATTGGAGTGACACAAATCCTGGCCATGATTCTCACCATCACTTTGCTCTGGGCTCTCTATTATGATAGGAGGGAGCCTGGGACAGACCAAATAATGTCCCTGAAGAATGACACGACTCAGCACCTGTCATGTCACTCAGTGGAACTGTTGAAACCAAGCCTGACAAGGATCTTTGAACACACCTCCATGGCGAACAGCTTCGATACACACTTTGAAATGGAGGAATTATAGAGAATGTCAAAAAAGGAACCCACTCAGTTATTTTATTTTACTCGTGAGTTTTTGAGCACAGAGTTGTTCCAGAAATGTGTAGAAATAAAAATGTTATAAATCGACGACTACGCATGTCATTTTGAAATCTTTAAAACAAAGAGGTAAAAGTTCCATATATTATATTACCACATGGACAATAGTTGATGCCATTTACAATGCCAAGGCCAGATCTAAAATCCACTTTATAGCTGTGCCAGATTTTTACTAAACATAGTATGCTTTGAGGTTTTTGCTTTGGTACAGATTGACCAATGTTTCTGCATGCCTACTATGGAGGGATTGGAGCTACAGTAAAGCTCTATTTACTTCTGTAAGCTCTCTCGTATATAAAGTACCAGTTAACTGCTAACATAGAAAGTAAAACAATACTAATGATTTTTATTCTTTGGTGATATATTTTTTGAGGGTAAAATAGATTAGACATAAGAAAAGTCTGAGGATTGGTGACTACCTAAATGTGATTTTTGCTAGTTACTAAAATATTCTTAACTACTTCCAAGAGCAAACTAACGTATTGTCTTAAGCTGATCAGGGATCTATGTGTATATGAGAATCTGTGTTAAGTCTGTATAACCCACTAGATTTCAGTTCTTATAATGTTAATAACAATTGTGAAAAGGATACATTTGTCCTGTATAACAGCATTATTCTTAACCTTTCCTGTTAGTAGAGTTTTAAAAATCTGTCTTGGTTTTTACATTACAGTACATTACATAATTGTTAATTTAAATACGTAACCACTGATTTTGAAAAATTGCTAGTGTGATACAAAAGGAGACATTATAATGCAGAATGCAGTCTGGTTCCTAGGAAGTATTAATAAGAAAATTTACACACAACTTATCTCATTTAGCAAAGACCTGGATGCTATCTTTCTCTCAAACTAAGACTCTTTTTGACATTAAACACTTATTAAAAAAGCTTATCTTTGCCTTCTGGAAACAAAAAGTGACAGTATCCAAGTCTGAATATAATTCTTCAGAGAATAGTGTTCCCTTTCTCCAGGGAAATGCTGTGAGAATCATTAAGATAAGTGGCAACTTAACCAGATAATTTCTTTGCTTTATTTCACTGATTAAGATACTATGGTGAAATACACAGATTATTAAATTTTTTACAAGAGTAAATATATTTATTTAAAATGGGAAAAGTGCATTTTACTGTATTTTATCTATTATGTTTTTTTCTCAGAAAATGGAAAGAAAATGAAAACTTGTCAATAAATATTTTCTAGAGAGTAATAATTTGTCTGTCTAATTTATATAATTGTAAGCCCTTTTACCACTCAAGAAGATTGGCAAAGGGAGAAAAATGTGAGAAGAAATGATTGAATATCGTAATAATAATGATTTTCAAACTCAAGCTAACCTATTAGAATACTTGACACCTGGTGCATGAAAATTCATGTGCTGGATGGGGGGTTCCTCAGCCCAGCCTACCCCCTCTCACAGTCTGAGAGCCCTTAGGGGCAGACGGCAACCTTGTACCTGGCAATTGGGGGAAAGGGATGCCCCCATCAAATCTCTGCTGCTGCCACTGCTGGCAGTGCAAGCCTGGGCCAGCCCTGGTTACCTGAGCCTTGGGCAGCCCTGGGCAGATGGGCAACCATCATTGAGACTTGCCTGCACCTTGGGCCAGCTCTGGGAGGCATAAGGGATTGGGTGCCGCCATCTTGTGGGTGATGCCATCTTTGAGGATGTGACAGTTAATTAGCATATTCTCTATTAGATAAGGTGCATCTTCAATGAGAAAAGATAAAAGATGCCCATTTACTTTTCAAGTTTGATTTTGAGCTAAATGATAATGTAATTAATTGATATAATGTATTATATAAAAGTACCCATTTATGTTTATCTCCTCAATATTTTCATATCCCAGTTTTTAAAGTAATTTTAAGAGAAAAATAGCCTAAGGACTACAATATTTTAAATCAACAGCTAGATTTTATCTATTCCATAGATTTAAATGAAGACAGTAAATAGCTTGCTTAATCAGAATCAAAAGAAACCCTTTTTATAATTTCCTTACCACCTCAAATTTTCATAATTTTACCTAAAATGCCCAAGTAAATGAAGCTGTTATGAGTGTTATTTGAATTATTCGACTAGCAGTCAAATTTCTGTGCACAGAAAGAACAAGTAAATGTTTTATTGACGTTGGTAAAAAACAAACAAACAAACAAAAAAACACCACACACCCCCAAAAAATTAAATTTGTAGATAAAAGTCAATTTCTACATCTTTAGACTTCAGATATTTTGATATATCGTTTGCTTTAATACTAGTCAACATAAATTTAGACAATCATCTTATATTCTTTTGCACTTGCTTAATGGAAACAAATGAAATCTAGCAGAGGTCTACAAAAGCCTCTTATGGTAGCAGTGCACCTGGAATAATAACACTGGGAGGGACTTTAAAAAGTATGATTAAGTCCTAACTGGTTTTGCTCAGTGGATAGAGCTCCAGCCTATGGACTGAAGGGTCCCAGGTTTGATTCCAGTCGAGGGCACGTACCCTGGTTGCAGGTTCCCCGGCCATGTTTGGGTTGCATGCAGGAGGGAACCAATCGACGTTATCTTTCTCACATTGATGTTTCTCTCTGTCTCTCCTTCTCCCACTCTCTCTAAAAATTAATGGAAAAATAGCCTCCATTGAGGACTAACAACAACAAAAAATGTATTTAATATGGCAGAGCTCAGGGAGTTCACTGTTTGGGTCCTTTGCAAACAACATTGTTAACTGGTTCCGTGAATTTTTAAAAGCTTTCTTTTGTGAAAATCACCATTTTTTTTTTTTTTTAAAGTAACATGTAAGAAGATTATTTTTTACTCAGGCTAAGAATCAATTCAAAGTGCCCTGGAGATTCAGAGATGACAATAAGAGATGCTGTGTATCTTCTAGCTCTGTGAATTATAAAATCAATATGTACAAGAACATAGCAGTATGAGACTGAGGAGCGGAGAATTAATGCAGCTCCATGGAGGAAATGACCTTCAGGCGGAGTCAGGAAAGAGGAGGGGAGCTCACAGAGAACATGCCATGGGCCACAACCCTGAAGTGAAGAAAGCACATGTTATTTGTGGGGCAGGGCCTGTTTTTCAATGTGGTTGGAGTAGAGAGTACTTGAAGAGATATCATGGAAGAGGAAATGGGTGAAATGTGGGTGCTTAGACTTCATTCTGTAAGTTCGATGGCGAGCCACTGAAGTATTTTCAGAAAGAGAAGTGATCTGTGTTTCAGAAATGTAACTGGAGTAACCCAGTGAGAAAGTGGAGGCCTGGAGACTGGTGTCCATCATCCACCTCCCCAAGGTGGACCATTCATTAGCTAGTCCGGGCATGGTGCTGTCTGAGGTTGGAGAGACTCCAGAGCCGGGCTGGCTAGGTTGCTGTTGCTGTGGCCAGGAGAGAGAGAAGGACCCTCCTGGGCACAATGGGCATCAGAAGCACAGTGCTCAGAACAGGTTACACAGGGTGAATCTCCAACATTGGGCAGCAGATGGATCTTGGAGAATGTCGCATGAGAAGTGAAAGAATGGAAATTTCCACATTCTGTGCCTGGCACATTGGCAATGGCATTGCCCTAGACAAGAGAAGAGTGGGGACGGCTGTGGGAGGGTGATTAATCTGGGTGGGACGCACTGCGTTGGATATGCCTGCAGGACATGCAGATGGTGATGTCTGCGGGTGGCTGTAACCTTCCAGGCGGGAGCTCCAGAGAGCTCAGTGTGGAGCCGGAGAATTTTTGTGCTTTGCCTTCTGAACTCAGGAAGCCTGACAGAAAATGGGCTGAGAACCAAATCTTCTGTGAGGAGAATCTTAAGCAGGATGCTGCAAGAACTTCCTATTGTATGAACTCCCACTCCTGTGGATGAGTCAACAGAGGTAAAAAAATAAAAATAAAAATAAATAAAAATGCATCTCTGAAACATCTGTGGCAAAAGGAGCCCCCCCCCCTTTTTTTGTTGTTGTTGTTAATCCTCACCCAAGGATATATGTTCCCCACTGATTTTTTTTTTTTTTTTTTTTTTTTTTTTTTTTAGAAAGAGTGTAAGGGAGGGAGGAAGAGAGAGAGAGATAGAAACATAGATGGCCAAGAAGAACTTGCAAAACCCTTGGCCTGGAATCGAACCTGAGACCCTTTGGTGCAGGGAGTCAGTATCTAACCACTTGGCAACACCAGCCAGGGCAGAAGCCACCTCTTTAAAACAACACTGCCAACTGCTATTGGCTTCCCCCAGCTCCCCTTCCTATTATCATATCGTGATTTATAAGTGGGTTTGTCTTTCAAGTTAAGTGAGTTCTTATTTCCTCATATCCAAGCACCTTGTAGAAACATGGATGGGAGAGTTTTTGATATCATCTTGAGAGTGCATTTATTTTCTATTCCAATACGCCTTGTGATCATTCTTTATCTCAGGCATTTATATCAGCCTACTAGGCACTGGCTGTAGGGCACTAGGTGTTTTACACATATTTTTTCTGCTCTTTTACAAATGTGCAACCTGTAGGCATCACTAACCCCATCTTACACATAAACAAAAGGGACTTAGTGAAACTAAGGAAACACATTCAACAAGTGGAGTGCTCTGGGTCCGTTCTCCCCACTTCGTGACATGGCATCTTTGTCAGCCAGTGGAGGGGCTCGGCTGATCCTTCATAGAAAAGCCAGATCCTTCTACACCGGAACCAATGTCTCTAGGTTTGATTTGTGTCCAAAGCCTGTTACTTCTTCCCTCAAGACAGCTCTTTGCTCTAAGGTCATCCTTCCTATTTTCCCAGAACAAGTCCTAATTATCTAAAACTTTGACTGAAGCCATACATTGCTCTTCCCCCCTGCCAATCTCTTGTCTCCTCCCAATAATCTATCTTGCATATATAGACACACACAGTGAAATGAATTTCTTTAATCAACTTTATGGAGGAAATGTATATCACCTATTTTAAGTATCATTTTTCCTTGTTCACCTCATTCCAAATGGCACACTCTACTTCTGTATTCCAGGCAGCAGGCCGGGGAGGGAAAGTGAATGGGGAGGAGGCCTGTGCCCCCTTTAGGGATGTCCCCAGAAGCACACTCACATCACTTCCATTCACATGGCACAGCGATGGGAGGGGGCAGACTCTTCGATCTGACACCCATGTATCCCGTTAACCAGAAAGTTCTGTGACTGCAGAAAAAGGGGAAAGGCTTATTTGTGTCAACTAGCAATCTCTGCCATATTTCTCAATACCTGCATAATAAAATCTATTTGAATTTATTTTTCAAAGCCCAAATCCCAATACTTTCCTACATGTCACTATACACCAGCCAGATGGGCCAACCATAGTCTACTTACTGCCTCTAACACCCTGCATATCCTGCACTTCCTTAATTTTGCTTACTTGGTGGTTTATCTTCAAGGTTCACCTTGCACTCAACCTTCAGGTCTCAGCTCAGCAGTCACTTCCTATATGCAGCTTTCCCTGACTACCCTACCCACAGCAACCCTTCCTGTTCTGAGTTCAGCAATTATTTATTGCTAGTTTGGTTCATATATTTTCTATCTTATAGTATTATATTGTTTTATCCTTGAATTTTTTTATTTTATAGTATTATTTTTATTTTATTTTTGTTTATATGTCTGGTCTCTCTTGAGAATTAGTATTATATCCTTTTGTATCCCACTCAACATTTTGCATAAGAGTAAGTAGTGTTTCTTATATGTCAGTTGCATATTTATTTACTACTAGAAATTTGTGCACGGGGGCGGGGGGAGGGGTTCCCTCAGCTGAGCCTGCACCATCTCCAATCTGGGACTCCTCAAGGAATGTTTGACTGCTTATTTAGGACCGATCCTGGTGAGAACAGGCCTAAACGGGCAGTCGGACATCCCTCTCACAATCCAGGACTGCTGGCTCTCAACTACTCAACTGCCAGCCTGATAATCCCCTAACCACTCCCTTGCCAGTCTGATTGATGCCTAACTGCTCCCATGCCAGCCTGTTTGCCCCTAACTGCCCTCCTCTGCAGGCCTGGTTCCCT